AATATGCCATTAGGCAGTGGGAACAGGCCTATTGGGTGAAAGGTTAATATGCTGGGGAAAAATATCCACAAAAAGGACCTTCAATCTTTTCAGAACATGCTTGGCTTACAAGCAAAGTCTGGAGAACAACTGAGTGTACCCCAGCAGAATGTGTCCTATCTGTAGCCCTCTGAGTATGTCCTTCACAAAGGTAAGAGTGGGGTCAAAATGGTTTCCACATTCCCACATAACTCTAACATTGCCTGATTCAATTGCTGGCACGTTATGCAATTTTTCTATAGCCCTTGGGAATTCTTAAGATTTACTTACAACTGCTCTGCATGTGGGAAATACAACTTGGGTTTCTGCTGCCATCAGCACAAGTCTATCATGGGAGATTGGGGTGGCAGCAAAGTCTCAATTTTCTCACCAAAAAACAAACATCCCTATGGTCTCTAAGCCTCCCTTGGCAAGGACGAGAAAGAAGAAAATGATGAGTGAAATACCACACAAGCCAACAGAGAGCCTAGAGGAAACTCATTGGGAAAAAACAAACTCCAGGACTTCTGCCATTTGATGGTATAGAAAATTCATAGGTGCATCCAACCCTCCTTGTACCTTTTTGAGTGTAGGGCTTTGAGTTTGCAAAGTGGTTTGCATGATCCCAGTTATATAATATTTTTCAAATGGCAAAATTATGGAGATGGAAAATGAGAGATTTCCAAGGGTTTGTAAGGATATGGCAAAGGAGAGGGAAAAAGGTATCTATGGCACTGAAAGTGCCCTGTGGTGATGGAACTGATCTGTATCTTGAGTATGGCGATCACCACTGAATCAGCATGTGCAGCGAAATGGCATAGATTTGCTCATGAGCCGAATTGTGTTCCCCAAAGAGATATGTGACCTTATAAGTAAACAGGATTGTTAGAGATGTATACCCTTTTTTCCCAGGAAAGGAGGACCCCCCCCCTCCACCTTCCATATGTATTATAAAGTAGCAATGCTGCCAAGGAAGCTGGATGCCAAGCTGCTCATCGAGGTGCAGCCTTGAGTCCCACCTGGCCAATTTCCTTTTGCGGTGAAAGCAAGGGAAGAGTTGACTGCCATGAGCACAAGCCATGTGAAGATTCCTTCGAAAACCACAGGCAGATTAAGACAGAAAGCTGTACGGGAAGGAGAGATGTGAATCGAAGCATCCAGAGTTTATTTACCACCAAACCCCAGAGCATTAGCAGTGCTCACACAAGCTATCACTTCTTAATTGCATTCAAAAGTGTCAGAAATTGGGAGCTATTTGTCAGCCTTATTACCTGTGCTAGGCAGCTATTGTGCAAGTCTCTCCGGATGCCTGGGCACTTTATATGAATGTGAAAGACACAGAAAACATCAGCTGCTGGACTGTAATTCCGGAGATAAATGACTCTCGGGATGAAAATTCTCCCCATTTCTAGTTTGGGCTTAACAAGAAAATGTGGAGAAGTGTACCAAATTATGTTTAGATTCATATGTAGATCAGAAATAACAGGATGGAAGATGACAGTGATTCTGGTTATGTTGAATTAACATAGATCTTTTTATTCCCAAGAAGGGTTGGGGATTTGGAAAGCCCAGTGTAGGTGCTTTGGGAGCAGTGGATCAGGAAGACGGAAATTGCAACACATGTCTCCTGAAGCAGATAAGGAACAACTGGATTACAAACCCTCACCAAGCAAAGCAGGAGAAAATCTTTCCCAGGCCCTGGCTTTCTGTACCCATCATTAGATCCCTCTCTTTAAAGGGGTTTTGTTGGCTGACAATTCAGTCCTGCCGGTCAGCTCTCTACTGCAGGCAGAGCAAACAAGCTGTCCAAATGAAGTCTGCAAATGCCGAGAGAGTGGAGGAAATTCAGAGCAGATTCTTGTGGACACCTGTTTTCTCCCTGTGAGGAAGCCCCTTACTTTCCTGTAATTGTATCTGATGATAGGAAATACAGAAGTAGATGGAGCAACAACCGATAGGAATCTTTGCTTACAGCCTTATTGTTTATTGACTTGTAGGCTTCTCTCCTGAGATAAATATAATTATGGAGCAATTATCCTATGTTCCTCAAGAGAAGTAAAAGGAATCCAGGGATATGTTATATCCTGCTGTTTAAGTTTACAAAGATTGTGTAAATTCAGATTGTCTTAGCTGTGACATTAAGAAAGCAGGCAGGCAATTACATGCATTTCCCTGAGAATTCAATTGTCATTTTGTCTTAATCAGCAGTATTTCTCAAAACTTAGTGGGTAAGGGAATATGCTAGAACTCCTGTTAAAAGGCTGATCCTGATTCAGAAGGTATGGAGTTGGCTATGAATGTCTGAATTTCTAGTAAAACCCTAGATGCCCCCAATTCTTTTCTGCACCAACATTGTAGCACAAGGGATCTGGAATACAATTCAAGACACAGTTACTGTTACTAGAGGGCTGTGTGCAGAGTATTTTCTTTCTCAGACACTTCCTTCAGTTTTCCTAATTTTATTATGAATGTGGAACACACACAAAAGTTGGAAGAATATTGTAATGAATCTGCAAACCCACCAACTGGAGGCAATATCTGTTAAGGTTTTATTCCCTTGTCCCCCACCCCCCATGCCTTCTCTCTCTTTATTTCCCCTATGCATCTCTCTCTCTCTCTCTCTCTCTCTCTCTCTCTCTCCCCTTCTTCTTCCATTTTTAATTTTTTTATTATTTATTTGAGAGGCAGAGTTACAGACATAAAGAGGAAGAGACAGAGAGAGAGATCTTGCATCCACTGGTTTGCTCCCCAAATGGCTGCAATGGCTAGAGTTAGGCTAATTGGAAGCCAGGAGCTTCTTCCATGTTTCCCACGCAGTACAGGGCCCAAGCACTTGGGCCATCCTCAGGCCACCAGCAGGGAGCTGGATCGGAAGAGGAGCAGCCAAGACACAAATCAATGCCCATAGGGGATGCCTGCGCCACAGATTGAGGTTTAGCCTACTATGCCACAGTGCCAACCCCTTCTTTACCATTTTATACCCTTATCTATTCTTCTCTCTCGTCTATCATCCATCTCTCCATCTTTCTATCTGCATTAATCAACATACATATCTAATCTTTGTCTCTCCCAATCTCTCCATCTATCTACCTATCTTTCCATCTTTCTCTCTTTCACCTTTTCTCCAACCATATGAAGTTTCAGACATGATACTTCACCCATAAACACTTCATCAAATAAATAAAATAAATCTTTTTTAAAAATTCACAAAAGCTAACACAAGAGCACTGTCCAAAGAAAGGAGAGGAAGAGAGATGAATAAAAATAAAAGTAGACATTAATGAAATAAAATAACAAAATAAAACCAGTTAAAATGATCTGTGGAGAATAAGACTGCTCCTTGAAAAGATCAATAACAGAGATAATCCCATGGAGAATATGATCAAGAAAATAATAAAGATGATCAATAGTATGCTGGAATTATGTATGAAATATGCCATAAATCATAACCTGACTCACAGAAACACAATTACACAATTCAGACTTTCTGGCCATACAGACTATGCCACCATGGATAGAAAAAAAGGAGGGGGTAGATATTTTTCTGAAGTCAATCATAACTTTAGCATTATTGCTTGATATCTATTTTTAACTGATGCCAAAACACTTTGTATGTTATTATATGCACATCATTCTTTTTTTTAATTTTTTTTTAATTTTTTTTGACAGGCAGAGTGGACAGTGAGAGAGAGAGAGACAGAGAGAAAGGTCTTCCTTTGCCGTTGGTTCACCCTCCAATGGCCGCCGCGGCCGGCGCGCTGCGGCCGGCGCACCGCGCTGATCCGATGGCAGGAGCCAGGAGCCAGGTGCTTTTCCTGGTCTCCCATGGGGTGCAGGGCCCAAGCACCTGGGCCATCCTCCACTGCACTCCCTGGCCACAGCAGAGGGCTGGCCTGGAAGAGGGGCAACCGGGACAGAATCCGGCGCCCCGACCGGGACTAGAACCCGGTGTGCCGGCGCCGCTAGGTGGAGGATTAGCCTAGTGAGCCCCGGCACCGGCCATATATGCACATCATTCTTTATGGCTTGGTGTTTGAGCCAGACTTTTATGCCACATGGTAACCAAAGAGAATTCAAGTGCCAGTGCAGCCCCCAGACACTTAGTTACTCAAAGAGAATGAGAGGAAGAAGTCTGGGGACTTATGTGGGAGTTCTAGTAGTCCTGTTACTGCACTTCCTTTTCCTTGTTTACAATGCAAAGAAACTAGAATCATAACTGTTTTACCTCTGCCCATTAAAATATGCTATTTAAAATCATCTTAATAAATAGATATTAATATCTAGCAATGACCGTTCTGACCTCCTGTCTAACAGGCCCCATTTATGTCTTGTTTGATGAAAGTTCTCCGCATCTGCAAAGCAAAAGGGCAAACTGATTTATGAACAGACTTATTGTCACAGCGGCAGATTTGTATAATGAGAAATATATTAAATCTAATGAAGGGAGAGCGTGCTTACCAAGGCAGTAAGTCTGTGTTGTGATTAAGTGATTCAATATCCCTCAATGGATTAATTTAGACAATGCATCGGGTTATGTAGCCACTGCCAGGCCTCTTTGCTCTCATGACAAATGCTAAGCAATGCTGTCTATTTGTGCATATGTATTGGGTTTTTAAGGTGTGATGATAAAGTAAGGTGTCACCCTTAGACCTCTACATTAGCAAGATGAATCCCAAAGATGCCTGTGTCCTACTGGTAGAGACCGGGAAGATCTATCAGCAATGTCATCTTTTAATGCTCCACTGTAAGCAGAGCATTTACCATAAAACAGACACACACTTTTACCTTCCAACCAAGACCAGCTCAGTGTGTCTGACTACTACTAAATGCAAACCACTTTAATTTCCTCTCTGGCCCTCAGCAGGGCCAAAAGCAGACACAGAACAATCAATCATGGGCTCTGGGTTTTTGAGTAGGGGAATGCTAGCTATTGTTTAATTGTCTATATTTTCAAACCCCATACAATAAGCAATGTCACTTACAGGATTTGAAAGTGACAGCAGACTTGTCCAGGCCCAGCAGTCACCTTTCTCTGGCTTGGAACAAGTTCAGTTTCCAGTTGTTCCTGCCATTGTGACAGCATAAAGCAAAGCCCTGAGACCCCCTGTTACCGACAGCACAGAGTGTCTTGAAGTCTGCATTTAAAATAGCAAGATTTCAACACCAGCCTGCTCAATACACATCGTATGGAGGGAAATGGGCTGCCCTGTAGTCCTTCCATGTCGCATGGAAAAAGGTTCAGCCTTCTAAGAGTAGGCAGGCAATAGATTGAAAAATTCTAACTTTTTACCCCCCAACCCTTTATTTTCCTCTACAAGATTCAATGAAGAGAAAAGAATATTGGGAACAGTAGCACGAGAATGAGCAAACTAAAAGAAAACAGCTACTTACCTGAAGTCCAGCGAGTGTATAGGCAGGAGAAACAGAAATCCCAATGTCATGGGCGTCCATTCTGATAACTCAAGGACAGAGAAAACCCAATTGCAGGATGTCCAGTGACTGGAGGAAAGAAAGGAGATGTAACTTGTCCATAAGGCAAGTAGTTAAAAAGACGGTCTCTCTCACACACACATACACACACACAAAGGAGGCTTCTGCTTCCATGTTGGCTTCCCCTACATTCTTTGAGTCGTCCGGTCCCTAATGAACATCTGACCTGAGTGGGGTGGGGCAGACCACAGTTAGATCTAGGGACAATCACACTGAAACCCAGGACCTCTGTGTGTGCAATCCTGATCCTATCCTCAAGTCCATAAAGACTTTATTACTCCTAATAATTTCATCATTTCTGAAGTGGTTATGCTAATGTAATAATACAAACAAACATTTGAAAACTTTTTTTTAGTTATTAGTGATTTCCACCCTGAACTGTAAGGAGGGTGGCTCCCCATCCCTTTTTAATGAGATACATGGTGGGGGAGAATATGCAAATGAGGAAATAGAAGCAGGAAAGAAGATCAATTGCTCTGCATAGTTGAGAGGCCTTGGGGAAGAGCCTGGAAGGCACACAGGGAAAACAGCAGTGGCCAAGTGGGGAGTCTGGCATGGGGGAGAGAAGAGGTTCCAGGAGGAGGCATCTGAGGTCTAGGCTATGCTGCCAGTGCCATCACACAGGGCATGGATAAAGACTTCAGAGACAGGAAGCCCAGTAGAATAACTCTCAGCTATTCTACGATCCCCTCTGGCAACATTCTTCTTGGTGCCAGACTGCTCACTTAGAAAGGCTACTGCTCCTGAGCTGAAAGGACTTGATAGGAATAGGAATAATTTGGTTTTTTTTCCCTAAGTCAAATTCACTTCTATGCACCCCAAGAGCAAATTCACTTCCAAATGTTTCTGAAAGCAGGACAGAGCACTAAAGATGAATGAAGGGAAGGAAGGAAGGGAGAGCAAGAGCGAGAGTGAAAGAAGAGAAGAGAAGAGAAGAGAAGAGAAGAGAAGAGAAGAGAAGAGAAGAGAAGAGAAGAGAAGAGAAGAGAAGAGGAGAAAAAGAAAAAAATGTGAGTAGCTTATTTCCAGGGACTCAGTAAGATATTTCTCTGCAGAGATAACCAATAAGGCTTTAGAGTTGGGGCCAGCACTGTGGCATAGTGGGTAAAGCCACCGCCTGCAGTGCCAGCATCCCATATGGGCGCCAGTTTGAGACCTATTTGCTCCACTTCTGATCCAGCTCTCTGCTATGGCCTGGGAAAGCAATAGAAGATGGCCCAAGCCCTTGGGCCCCTGCACCCACGTGGGAGACCTGGAAGAAGCTCCTGGCTCCTGGCTTCAGATGGGCAAAGCTCTGGCCATTGTGGCCAACTGGGAAGTGAACCAGTAGATGGAAGACCTCTCTCTCTCTCTCTCTCTCTCTCTCTCTCTCTATATATATATATATATATATATATATATATATATACAGAAAGGAATAATATTTAGAAACAAATACAGATGTGGATGTTGATACAGAAATAGACATAAATCTTAAAGAGGCATGAGAGAAGGAAATATCTACAGGTCAATCAAAAAGAACAGGGACAAAATATGCTGAATATTGCCCAAAGCTACCTTTTGTTTCTTTATTCAAATGGATTCATATTGGGGAATTTCTGCTTGTGCTTGCTGTCTTTTCTATACAAATGAACAAAAAACAGAGTTTTGAAGGATATGAGTTCTAATAATACATGATTACTCCTGGAAGGGGTGGAATTTGGAGATTTTAAAATGGGCCAGGAAAGTTTGTCCAATTTTCCAGTTTCTGATAAAAGAGGAGTCTGGTAAAAGACACAAGTTTCATATATTTCATATATACAGATTTAGAAACACAGTGACATTCCCCCCACCACCCTCCCACCCACCATCCTCCAATCCTTCCTCCTCCTCCCTCTCATATTCTCACTCTTAATTTTTATAAAGATCTATTTTGGTTTATTTAATGATCATACAGTTAACACTACACTAAGCAAAAGAAATTGTAACTCAAGTTTTTTTTTAAAGGTCCTGAAAGAGCTGTAAACCCTTCCCCTATTTTTCAGTGGGAAAAGACTAAGACCAGAGATTCAATGGCTTAACCAATGTGGTATCACCCTTCCAACACCGTTGAGAAGGATGTTTTCAGTCTTAATATAGAAAGTGCTTTTTACAACTAGGCATTTAAGAACAGAAAATGTATATAATGAGCCAATGAAACCCTCAAAAGAACAAACTGATTCACATGAAGAAACAAATATGTTGAAAAAGTCTCGGGTCCTATTTGTGAGATGGCAAAAAAGACCCTTTTCTGGCGTTGTTCTAATTTGATACAAATTACCATCAGCAATTAGTTCCCTGTGCTACCTATTCCTCCCTGAATCCCAAAAGGACACCATGTAAAGTGTTTCCCTATTTGGGGAGGGTCCTTACACTTCATGTTTAGAATTATTTATGATGAAATCCATGCTGGAACAAGCCTTCCCATGGGATGACATGTTATGAGTACAGTATAAAGATGACTGAAACTTAAGAAACATTGTGCATATACTTACACAAATGCCTGTGTATGTGCATATGTCAGATTGAGGAGGAGGAAAAGATGACAAAACAGGAACAATCCATGCATTTGAAGATAAACAATGTAATAAAATACTGGCAGTGGCTGGGGTCAGGATGAAAGAGAAGAACCGGCAGGCGAGACCTAAGTTCTTTGCAGGAGAAGAATGGGTGGGGAGGGAAAAGGATAAGATGATGGAGGGGAAGGAGAGGGGCGGCAGAGACGCAGGGACACAAGACCAAAGGCACTCTCTGCTGAACTGGGAAGTCCCTTTAGGACAAGCATTCGCACTGTGTATCCTATAAACAGTGGCCCAGACACCACGTGATTCGGTGAAATCATCTGTTTTGCTGGACAAGACTCACCCGCCAGAGCCTAGATTGCCAAGTCCCGGAGGGCCATCACCATGCTCTTCTGCAGGTGTCTCCAGGAATGCCTGGGCAGCACTTTGCCCCACAAACTGGGGAAACAGTTCCCTGACTTGTTTCCTGGTGAAGAAGTACCAGCAAGTAGTTGTGCAAGACAACCCTTCTGCCAGCCCTGTGGTGTCCATCAGTCCATCTGCAAGTCACAGCTACAAAGCTCTCTGAGCAAGACCCGAGGTCCCTCAAACTCCTTCTTCCCCTCTCCAGAGCTCAGCCCAGCACCCTCCCTGAGAAAGGAAATAAAACAAAAGAAAACTCCCCTTAAACAATAGGGCTGTCCAGAGAGAGTCTGGAAGGGAAGGCTGGAGAAGCCAAACATTGATAAACTTAATTAAATTTCTAATGAAAACAGAGGCAGCCTGCAGTGATTACTCTCTGTAACTGAGACTAATATTCCAATTAGGCTAATTCATCCCCTGATGCTCTGAACACACTTATAGGCTTAATCCATATTTCTTCCCTCTTGTCAACAATAGATTTCCATCATTTTGGAAGCTCTGCTTTCAGCACTAAAAGCAGTGGTTCTTGGTCTCATCTGGGCCATCTGTGCACAGCTGAGGTCTGCCTGGTGCCTATACTAACAACAGGACTGCTTTTCTCTCCCCTCCTTGCTCTCAGACTCCAGGAATTTTGTGCACCTTTCAAAAGCGCCATTTCAGAGACCCTTGATTTGTTTTCTTCTCGCTGCTGAGTAAGTCCTCCCAGAAGATTTAAAAATTCAAACTGGAGTATGTATTTTGGTGCAATGGTTAAATTGCCACATGGGATGACCACATCCTACATCGGAGTGCCTGGTTGGAGTCCTGGCTCCATTGCTTCTGACCCAGCTTTCTGCTGATGAGCCCTCTGGGAGGCAGCAGATGATGGCTTAAGTACTTGGGTCCTTGCCACACACATGGGAGACCCAGAATGAATTCTTGGGTCTTGGCTTCAACCTGGGCCAGCCATAGCTGTTATAGGCATTTGGAGACTGAACCAATAGCCAGAAGATATCTATGTGTGTGTGTATGTGTATGTGTGTGTGTGTGCGCGCGCATGCGCACCTTTCAAATAAAATGAAAATAATTTTTTTCAATAAACACAAAAGAGAAAAGACTCTATTCATTTTATTTCCAGTTGCAAATCCTGGCTGACTCTTAACACAACAGAGCCAGTATACCCAGCAAGAAGCACCAGCATCCCCATCGGGAGCATGAGGCATGGGTAACTCCACTGGCGGCCACCAAACAGGATGAGCTGAAAAGGGAGGGGTAGACACACGGCATCGGGCCAGCCTCGTGTGCACCCCAGCTCTTCACTTACTGCCTGAAGAAGGTCCTGCTACGACTTAGCCCCTGTTTCTCCATATGTAAGATGAGAATAATGACAACTTTCTCAGGCTCTGCTGCATGAGTTAAACTGAGCAAATGGCTGCTTTTCTACTGCTTTTTAATATACATCCAGGAGAGTGGAAGCCGCCTCACATACGTCATTTCACGGAATCCTCTCAAAGCCCCTTCACGAAGAGGAAATCGCAGGCCATGGAAAAAGCACTGTCTTGCTCAAGTTCATTGACAGAGCGAAGCGGGGAACTCGAGGCTCACTCCCAGGTCCGCTCTTC